CTCTGCTTGGGAAGAGTGTTCACCCCGCAGCCACCTTGGGGTGGAGGGTGTCAGTGTCGAACTACGGCTGCAGGAATTGTGCTTTGCAAAGCGAAGTCACCCTTCACAGTGCCAAGTGGCATATATACCTGGTCACCGTTCCTGATTGCTTTGGTGGCAGTAGGAAGATATTATCAATTTTTAAAAATATGCAGCTTTAATTTGCATTGTGATCATAAAACTATGTCTTTTGTAATATAAGAAAAACTATGAAAAGAAATTGCAGGGCTGTGACCCACGGTGAATCTCGATGCCACCATCCTTATGAAGAAGACCGGGCAGGGATGCCTGGATACCTGGGTTCAGACTGCGAGTCAGCTGCGGGCAGCTCTCGAACCCCTCAGCCTCGCGGGCCCCACCCAGCAGAGCGTGTCAGTCCTGCCCGAGTGCTGGAATGACCTGAGGAACTGAAAATAAAGGGGTCGGCCTGGCCCTTAAGTAAATTGGGTCTGAGCTCCAGGGCGTGGGGAGCAGTGCAGGCTTGGTCACCAACGCGCGGGGGTCTGACTTGCAGCTCAGCGGGAGGGCCGCTGCCTCACAGGACTTTGAGGAGTAAACTAGGTTGGCCCTGCAAGGTCCCTTACCACATAACAGACACTCCAGAAGGGGGAAAACAAGGAAACGGGGTTCCTCAGGTCAACCACCAAGACTATGCACCGAGAACCAATAATTACTGAAAAACGAAAAGGTCTGCACCGCCAGCCCTGTGCGGGCGGGGACAGGTAGCCGAGGACGGGTGTCCTCGGTCTGGGTGGCCAGGCAGGTCCTGCAATGGCCTCATCAGTATGTTACCACGTTGGCCTCAGGGATCCTTACCCAAAATGATGGTCACTTCCACTGTGCGTCACCCAGTGGAAAAGTTTGAGCAACATTATTCCCCGGCTTCAGTGGCCCCACAAAGCCACGAGGGCAGTGAGTTAACAAGGCTACGTGCAAATAGTGCTGTTGCGATGATGAGGCCCGAGGCCCGGCCCCCCGGGGCCCCACATCCCTCACTCTGCCCCGGTGGTAATTGGTGAGTTGGAGGCAGTGGGGTTCTGGAACTCTCGGAGGCTCTGATCATTGGATCATTTAGAATGAGGCCCTGGGAGCATCTTGACAGGGCTCTGGAACCCCTAGGGAATTGGGAGGCAGCTCACAGCTGAAGTGTGTTATCTCAGAACTGCTTCTGGGCTGGACTGTAGTGTATGGGCTCGGCTTGGACCCCCAGCTCCGAACACACACACGTGCACACATACGCACCCGCTCTCCTTGGTTTCGGACTGGAAATGGTGAGCTCTTTCTTGCTGTCATTACACTGAAGCATACTGGGGACACTTGTGAATCTCCCAGGGTCATTGTCAGAGCTGAGGAGGAATTTCCCTTGCATATATCCCAGGAAGGTTCTGGGTTCATCTCGCAGTGAGAGAGCTGGCCAGTCTCTCCTCTCTGACCTGCTCGCCGTCAGCCTCACCTCACGGTAGGGCCTGGGCGTGCGTGTGTCTGTGAGTTCTACGTGTCGTCCAGCTCTACCACCGCCAAGCTGTACAATCTCAGAGAAGTCACACACTGTCTGCGAGCAGCAATTTTCTTGTTTCTTCACGGGAGATAGTGGTAATACTTGCCTCACAGGATTTTAAAAGGAACGAAAGCCATAGCACCTAGCACTTAGTAGACACTTATTAACAAAGCTCACATCTTGTTCAAGTTTCATGACGTAGTATTTTTGCTTCGTGTGCATCCAGGTACCAGCAGGCGTATACATCCTGTTTGGGTCATCTCTAAGTCAGTTCGACAGCTAATCTTTCAGGATAAAAGATGCAAATGCTCACCATGCTTTCATTAGCATACGTGCTAATATAATGCAGCTGTCCCACAGCTATAAAACACTGACGACTGTGTCTCTGCTTGGCATGGGGAATATTTCTTTTTTTTCTTTTACTGAGCCGATTCAATACTCAACTTTGTCATTATTTGAGTTGGAACTGTAAGTTGCTGCATTTTAATGCACTGTACTATTAAGGATTGTTGGACAGCCGTGTGCAAATATTTTTGTTCTCACGATGCAGTCCTGGCCCAGGTAGCCCAATGGGTAAAATATGATTTACACAAATATTATCATTCCCGTAGTGTGTACTAAAAGGAAACCTTAGAACAGAGCGGGAGAAAGCCTCTCTCTTAGCATTCGATTATCTAGGTTAAGTTGGCTTGTGAAGAAGAGGCTTTTCATCCTCTCTCATCTGCTGCTACTCTCAAAAAGTCCTGTCTTCCTGGGTGGACACTTCTGTTCTGGAGAGAGCCAAATCCTGTTTGCTCTCACAGAGTTTTCTTGCCAAGAGGAGGGCAAGATACAGAGAAGGAGGCTGGGAAAACCGCAGCCACGTGCTGGGATTCTGGGGGTTCTGTGTGAAGTCTGTTTCAAATGTCTCTTGTCTCTTTTTGCCTAGAACAAGGAAGTGACCTGTAAGAGAGAGAAATGCCCCGTGCTGTCGAGAGACTGTGCCCTGGCCGTCAAGCAGAGGCGCGCCTGCTGTGAGCAGTGCAAAGGTGATTTATGTCCTTCTTGTCTGGCTGTTGATTCAGACGTTTTCATTTCTCTTTCTCTTGCCTTTCTCTTCGCTCAGCCCTTGGCTGGGGCGCAAATGGGTGTCGGGAGCATGGGCAATGGACTAGTGGTTACCGGAGGGAAGGGGGTGGGGGAGGAGGGAGCAGGTAGACAGGATAAAGGGGATCAAATATAGGGGAGTTGGGGGAAGGTGAAGTGGGTAAAGGGAATCAAATATACGGTAGCTGAAGGAAACTGGGCTCTGGGTGGTGATCACACAATAGAATACTTGATGTCAAATTATAGTGTACACCTGAAAATTATATAATCGTATTAACCAATGTTACCCCAATTAACTTTAAAAAATGGGTTTTGGGAGGGAAGCTGGTGTGTGTGTGTGCGTGCGCTTGTGCTGGGGGTGGTGATCATAAGGGGGACTCTCCTAGTGGAGAGATGACAGTGTAGTGAGCATCTATTTGCGCATTGAGTGTATTTTCTAAGGCGTTAAAATATCACAGAGGAGATGTCAACACGATGCCTGTGCATGTTGGTACGCACACACACAAGCATCTTTTTTAAAGAAGTTTCAACACAGGTTTCCAAGCTCCTCCCTCGCCCCGCTCACTTCTGCCACAGAAGTCTTGAAGCCCAAATTGGATCCTTTCGGTACTTATTAAATTTTTTCTTTCCTTCTAGATTAAATCTGAATTCTTCATTTTGTCTTTGAAGCATCTCTAAAATACCTTTACTCCACCATCATCTCCCGTGGCCCGCTAGGCGTGCATCTTCTCTTGAACATGCGGTCCCTAGTCTTGCTTCTTGGCCTTAGCCCAGGTCTTGCCTCCTGACCTGTCCAGATGCTGCCTGTGTTCAGGGTTTCCCGGCCCTCATTCATCATTGTCCCCTTTAGGTTTCTATGGCAGAAGGAAGTTCACCCAGGTACTTCAGTTCTGTGCTTTTCTCTTTCGTTATTTGTGTTCAGTAGATCATCTGCTCTGTGTATGTTAGTGCGTGTGTAAGCAGAGTGCTTAACAGAGTGGGGTCCCCAGGAGGCAAAATGAGCTCTGGAGTCATACTACCCACAGTCCTGGGTCACAGGGTGTCCCCCCAAAGTCCGTATCCACTGGGAATCACAAGATGTAAACTTATTTGGAAATAAGATCTTTAGAGATGTAACTAGTTAAGAGACCATTATGCTACTGGTTTAGGGTGGCCCCATGTCCAACATGACTGGTGTCTGCATGAGGAGAAGAAGACAGACAGAGATGCACGAGAAGGTGGCTCCGTAACAAGATATAAACACCTGGGCTCTGTTCCCCGAGATTCAGACGCATTTGTATGTGAGATGTGGTGAGGCTTCTGTCTTTTTCAAGAGCTCCCTGGAGATTTACCGTGTAGCCCAGGTGGCGAATCTCTGAAAGAGTCCTCAGCCAGCTGCCGGGTGATTTCTGTCCCACAGGAGAGCATGCGTTTTGTGGGGAGTGAGGGAGGGGAGACCTAGGAGAACCATCTAAAAGAGCTCTACAGAGACCAGATTAATGAAAGCCCATTTCTATGATAGCCACGAGTCTCTATAGCCAGTGAAATCCTGTGAACTTGTCAAAACGCACTGTTATACAAAATCTGCACGTCAAGTGTTAATGCCAAGTTGTTTGTTAACAACTATAGCTATTGTTGTAAACTGGAATAATTTTTTGTTAAAAACTAGAAAAAAAAGCAACAACAACAATAACAACAACAAAAAGCAAACAAATGAACAAAGGAACAAGAGAGGCAGAGATTGGAGTTATGCTACCGCAAGCTTGAGAGTACCTGACATACCAGGAACTGGGAGCAGGCGAGGAGGGGGAGGCCCTAGAACCTTCAGGGGGAACATGGCCCTGCAGACACCTTGATTTTGGACCTCTAGTCTCCAGAAGTGCGAGAGAATCAGTTCCTGGTGCCTTAAGCCACCAAGCTCGTGGTGATTTTTTCCCAGCATCACCAGGACACTAGAAACCCATCATTTCCACTTGGGCAGGTAGAGGTATGTGAACCTCTCTGTACCGCCGCTCCCTCGCCTGTAACGTGAGGGTAATACTCATGTCGAAGGACCTAAATGAGAAGATACATTCAAAGTACTAGCACAGCGCCTGACTTGTCAACAGCTCTCAACTAACGGAAGTATAGTAGGTGCTCTTTAAATACTTGATGGATTTGACTATGAAATCACATTTTCTGAATCCTTTTGGAGCAGGGGTTTTCTCTAATCCTTTGCTCTCCTTTTTTGAATTTTTAAAAATATTATTAGAAGGATGATATAAGAAAGTAAATTAGATAGTGGCCAAGAAAATATAACTCAGATGTTGAGGTGC